CGCCCACTAGTGGGCGGTAGGGACCAGGTTGACTACCACTGATTTAAAGTATACATTCACATAATTGTTATTCTTCTTTACATTTATCATTCTTGTACATTTATTATTTCCTTTAATAGGTTATAATATGCATTTTGGGGTGCTTTATTTACCATCTCCTCCTCCTTTTGTAACATCACCTTGTTTTCCCTTTCTTTTCTCCCTCCCTCCCTTCTCTACTTCCTTCCTGCCTCCCCTCCTTCCCCTTCCTTCTTACCTTATCTTTCTCCTACTCTTCCTCGTCCCCTTCCTACCCTCTCTCCTTCTCTTTCTCACCCTTCCATCCTCCTCTCCTTACCTCTTTCTTCTTTCCCCTGTCTTCCTTTCTTTCTCTCCTCTCTCCCTTTCTTTTTCCATTATTGTCGGTGTCTATTTCAAAACTCAGTTTATGTTTCCTTGGGATGGTATTTCCACCAACCCAAATATAATGTCAACATTTCAAAATGTTAAAACAGCTTCAAAAACATTTTTTAAGGATATGTGTCAGGGCTGCCTCCAATCAGCAGTGGGTTTCACATTTTGTTACCATCCATTTACCAGATGCACGCATGCAAACTTTACAGATGCATACACCACTTTTGCACATGTGCCCAGCCTTCCATGAATGCACTTTGCTCTTGCATACCTTCTGTGCATGCGCCCAGCCTCCAAAACATGTCTAAATAGGAGGGCATAGAGCTGGGGCGGGGTGGGCCATTAGTAGTCCTGAACTAGTCTACTCTACATAATAAAGATAGGATTAGCCTTCTACAGAAACTCACTACACGGCATCAGGAACCCACAATTTCTGCTACAAGTTCAAGTGAACCGATTCGAACCGACTGAATACCACTTCTGCCCCCAATCAACCCCCAGGGTCTCCATAGAGTCAGAGAAAAGGTATTTTTACTAGGAAAGAACCGATTGCAGCAAAAGCCCAGGCAAGGTCTGAAGTGAACACACACAGAAAGATAAATTGAAAATAACTCCAGAGCCCACCCACTCCCAGTAGCCAGGCAACCAATCATCGGCCAGGAAGATGTTTTGGGAACATCTCCAGGTGTACCGATCCTCCTTTGTGCATGCCTATCCCAGGACGGTTGGCCTTGAAGATGTGAAACAACCCATGGCTTCTCAGAAATTAATCTCACACCTCCTGCACACTTCCCCTCCCAAATACACATTGCTCCCCCCCTTCTGTTTCCATGGCAGCTGGCAGCAAACTTGAAGGAAAGGGAAGATAGTCAGGCTGGTTTACTTGAGTTCAAATGGTTATTATATTTTACGCTTCTATCAGTAATGAAGTTATCTTTCTTCCTATACTGGTAGTTCTCAGCTTATAAGCACAATTGAGCCTCAAATTTCCAATTAAGCAAGGCAGTTGTTAAGTGAGTCCTGTCCTATTTTATGACCTTTTTTGCCATAGTCTTGTTGGGAGAAATGTCCTTCTGGATTCAGCTCCAAGTGGGGGGAAAAAGACACTGGAAACATGGAGGCTGCTTGGAAAGATGGTTTAATGGTGGACAGGATCACATGGCTTGAGTCCTGAACAGAAAAGAGGGATCACAGGCTTCCAGATGTTGGGTGAAGAAGAAAAGAGAGAAAAGAGNAATTCACCCTTGAAAGACTGTTTGCTGGGACTTTGCTGGATGTGAATGAGAGGAATTCACATTAGCTAAATAAAAAGGGGTTTTGTCGGGACAAGGAGTCTGCTTCGTGATTTTGTGAAGCCTCAGTCAGAACAAAGCTAGGCAACCTTAGCTCTTTTGAAAAACAGGGTCCTTTTGCTTCGTTGATGTCAGATAAAAATATATAATCTATAAGCTGAATTGCAAGGTTGAGGGTAAAGGAGGAAACCTTGATGGAGATATGCAAGGTTTATTACTAAAGTAACAAAGGGAAAAGCGTAAGTACTGATAAAAGAGAATATTTGTATTCAGGGTTGTTGAATAAAGGTAGTCCTCGACTTATGACCAGAATTGAACCCAACATTTCTGATGCTGACACAGTTATTAAATGAATTTTGCCCCATTTTACGACCTTTTTTGCCATAATTGTTAAGCAAATCACTGGAGTCATTGAGTTAATAACACGGTTGTTAAGTGAATCTGGCTTCCCCATTGACTTTGCTGGTCAGAAGGACGCAAAAGGGGATGGCATAATCCCGGGAAATTGCAGCCGTCATAAATATGAACTGGCTGCCAAGGATCTAAAATTTGATCATGTGACCATGGGGATGCTGTAACAGTCCAAAGTGTGATAAACGTTCGTAAGTAATTTTTTTCAGTGACATTGTAACTTCGGTCGCTAAATGAACAATTTTAAGTTGAGGACTATCTGTATCTGTAGCTCAGCACGGATGATGTTACTTAGTTTAGGCAATAAAGTATATGTAAGAAAACAACCAAGCTCAGAGAGCACCAAGGACCCCTCATATCTTCAGTCCACCACAGGCAGATAATATTTGGAAAGTGTCACCTCCCTAATTCACATCTGAAGGGAGGGGATCAGAGGTGGCATTCTACCGGTTTGGATCGATTCACTTGAACTGGTAGCGGAAATCGCGGGTAGCCCAATCCACCCTCCCCAGCTCTACGGCATCCCATTTAGGCCAGTGGTGAAATCCAATTTTTTAGCTACCAGTTCTGTGGGCGTGGCTTGGTGGGTGTGGCAGGGGAAGGATACAGCAAAATCTCCATTCCCTCCCCACTCTGGGGCCAGCCAGAGGTGGTATTTGCCGGTTCTCCGAACTACTCAAAATTTCCACTACCGGTTCTCTAAACCGGTGGTCTCTAACCTTAGCAACTTTAAGACTTGTGGACTTCAACTCCCAGAGTTCCTCAGCCATCCAAATCATACGGCAGCAGGTATCACACATTGGCGATTGTGACGCAAATTTTGAGCGATAGGGAGCCGCAGCAGACGGATGAAAGAGCCACATGCGGCTCAAAAGACGCCGGTTGCTGACCCCTGGTCTAGCCTACCCAATAGGACTGGTGGAGAAGTTTTTAGAAAGCATAAAGGAAAGGTTTTTTTGCCCTTCTCTTCTTCCTGTTTTCATTGGATGATGATGATGCTTATTTCTGCTGCCAGCTCTTCCTCCTAGAGGAGATGCGGGAACGAAAGTTTGACGGGTACGCCCGGGTCATCCAGAAAGCGTGGCGCCGTCACATCGCCGTCAGGAAGTATGAGCAGATGCGAGAAGAAGGTAGGAGGGAGGTCCTTGTTCTCAGGACATGATGGTACTCCACTAGTGAGGCCACACCTGGCCACCCCCCAACACGAATGGGCGTGGATTGCACATTCCCCCTCGTATTAATAATCAATAACATTATTATCAGTCATAATGATCTCTACAGAACCACTCATGTCTACTGCACTTCATGATCTGCTCTTCCCCTGTTATCCCTTCTTCATGAAGCATCCAATATCCTGTACAACTTCAAAGAGAGGCGGAGAAACAGCATCAACCGAAATTTCATGGGTGATTATCTGGGTTTAGAAGACAAACCAGAACTGCGCAAGTTTTTGGGCAGAAGGGAGAGAATTGATTTTGCCGATTCAGTCACCAAGTACGACAGGCGGTTTAAGGTAAGATGGAGTTGGTCATTTACCAGGAGGTGGAGAACCGAAAGCTTCCAACGTTGACCTTTTTTTCCAAAACCTGGAAGAATTCTTGCCATTTGTCAAGAGTTTCAAAATGTTTTTTTCCCCTGAAGAATTTTTTTATTTTTTTTATTCTCTTACATACCATTTAAAGCAGGGGTAGTCAACCTTTTTATACCTACCGCCCACTTTTGTATCTCTGTTAGTAGTAAAA